TTGGTAAACTTCTCCTTTTTTTTGGAAATATTTGATTTAAAATGCTTTGCTTGTCAAAATGTATAGTCTTAGTTCAGATCTTGCCTTAAACTCATTTCCGTCAAGTTCCTTACAATGTAGATGATAGAATATTTTGGCACGGGGTAATTACATAGTTATCCTTCTCAATCTTTTATGTGAAGCTCTGAATGCATATACTCTTGCCATCAATCTAACTTCTAAGGTTGTTTCTTCTGTTTAGATCCGCGAATCACTTATTTTAAACTAATGTACCTAGTAAATAATAGGGTGAAGATTTGTGGGAGAGTACAACTGTAATTGTCATGTGCTTTTTGTTAAATGCATTAACAAGAAGGCATTTCAAGATCATTTTTCCTTGAGTTTGCTTTGGGTATAGCTACATTTGGAGTATGCCTATTGGAGTGTATAGTGGTCTACAACCAACAAAAGCATTAATGGCAGAGATAAAATCCATCATACTTCACAATGTCGCAAAATTTGCAATCAAGATCCTTTAAAGAGGATATGGCCGCTTCGCTGTTTGTTGCATTTCAGGTTAATATTTAAGGCGAAAAAGTTATCACTACATCGTAAATTCGTTTTAATGTGCAAAAAGTTGTCGCTATGTCGAGAATTGTTAAGTACTTAGTTGATGAATTACCATTATTTTACTTTCTACTTAGAGTTTTCCTTTTTTATATGCAGAGGTTGTTTATGCTCATTTCTATTTAATTGTAAATGAATTAGGATTCAAATATATCAACACCCACAATAACTCATACCTATCAATTTATTGATAAGGCTTCGATGTTATGATTGAAGTTAAAATGTTAAGACTTTTATTTAAGATGTTCCTTTGGGGACCGCCAATAAAATTAGATATTCCATCTAAAACTATTATATATTGGAGAATCTGCTCTCTTAACTCAAATAGGGTAGTAGTAGTTCCAATGTATTGCGGCGAGATAGGAGGGTAGAGTAGGATCATAGGATTTAGGCTGACGTGTTAGAAGATTTTTAATTTCTGAGCACAAAGAAGTACCCGAAATTCCAACCGTCCTCTCCCTTCCAACGGAATAGGGCATATGTTCCATTGATCAACTTGCTTGGTGTAGCTCTCTAACCACATTCTCTTCACTCTACTTTTATTGTTTAGAAGATACTGGTACATTGCTGAATGTTCTAGAGTATATTGTGTTAGTTATTTGCTAGGGGAATCTGTTAGAAATTGTCTCTTTGGTCAGTCAACAAAGATATAGTACTTGACAGCTCATATGGTACTTTAGAGATGAAGAAGAAGCTTAATTGCTCCCAATGCTTTAATAAGTGGAATATAGAGCAAAATAAGTTAATTTCAAAGATGTTAAAAGAATATGAGGAGATGATGATGCATCGTGGTATCGAAGTGGAGGATTTTAAGGAAATTTATAAGGATATAGTCATTGCAAAAGAACATTCAATTCTACATGAACTTGATGTTTAAAAAACTGAAAACTAAATATCTGATAAACCTCGTGTTTGTAGATATGCTGCACCAGTAGTAAAGTGTAATTGCACATCCTATGATTTAAGATATAATCCAATTCTCTTTCTAAATCTGTTTGTAAGAATATGAATTACCATTGTTGATCATAAAGTATTTGACGGAGTCTTTACCTTAGCCTGCTTGAAATAATAGGGACTTATGGTAAATGTAAATTCAACATTTGTGATGATATTGAACTGTGATCTCATAAAAAATCATCTTATTATATCCTCCACTCGATTAGTATTCGTTTATGTTGTCAAAAACATGTTGCTTTTACTGGGGTGTGAAATAAGGATTAAATATTTTAGTCAAGAAAGAAGGAGAAGGTATGAGACTGCAACAACTTTATCTGATATTAATTCTTGTTTTTAGCAGGGAATGAAGGTACATCCATTTGACGTGATGTGCTCGTCTCTTACCAGAGTTTTGCATTCTTCTTCCCACAACAAGACATAATGAAGGTGGAAAATATCCTGAATCAGACTACCACCATGTGTCAGCATGCCTAGGTATGGCTAAATCTTCTACTGTCTGCCGAATTTTTCATTAAATTTGCCATTCCGAAGAGCAACATATGTAGGGGTAACATGAGAACCTACTTAAGTCTTTAAATCAATTTTTTCTGTTCTTTAACTTTACCTTTTTCTTTATAGCTCTAAAGTCATGTAAATTATTTTCTGCCAAGCGACTAAATCATATACATGCCTCCTGGGCCGTATTTAAAAATATTTTTGGTATTTTTCTTTGCAGCAACATTTAGATAAAATGGAGGATTCATATTTTATTTATTTCAACTTACAAAACTCATATGTTTTTTAGCTTTGTGATTTATGCATTCTCAGTTTGCTATTGTTCTTTACCAAAAAAGAATATTCTACAATTATTGTTCTTAAGAAGAACTTATATTTGCATGAGCTTATTCAAAAGTAAAAAAATTATGTTGAATGACAGATAAAAAAATAGGATTATGATTGAGGCGCGAGATGCAAATAGAAGAAGAATTAATATGTATCAATATTTTGAATTAATTAGATATAGCGAAATTTTTTAGACTATTGAATTATTATGTCATCCTAACAGTAACAATTCTTTTGCAAAGTAAAGCTGTAAAATAGCTTTAGTTGATTATATGCCGCAATTTATAACTATTTGCTTATAAAGTGTGATAAATAATTGGTGAACTGCTGTCTAAACCAAAATTTTGTGGGAACTGACTCATTTATTTATGAAACTAGAGATGAATGAGTGAGGCATAATTTTTGTGGCAATTCTAATATGATCTCGTGTCATTTAATTTGCAAGGAACCTGCAGCTTGTATGAGCACGTATTATCTGTTCTTATTTCTTGTTGTGAGTAATGATGTGTATTGTAGTCCCCGAAGAGATTGTCCACCCAAATCTACTACATGCTTTAAAATATTAATTTATTCTATGGCTTTTAAAGGTGTTAGTGTTACAAAATCATGGAGCCTCTGCTTCTATTTTGATGAACCGTTCTCATGGCCAAATGTTTGTTATTTCAGTTGTTCCTCACACAGTCTGCTCATTCGGACAATACAATAGAATGCTTTTACCAGACTGAGAGTTTAGCCTATGTTAAATTTGACCAAACGAATTATTAGCCGATGAATAAGTTTATTTCATATTTTTTTTTTGACTTTCTGTTCTGTAACCTCTATAGGTACACTGCGTATGGGATCTAAGAGCAAAATTTAATTGAATTTCCATTCTTGATGTGAATTTATGTACAGAATGATCGAAATCTTAGAGCAGCTCAAAGTGAAATTGCCAACAGAATTCAAAGTCCAGGCTCTTGAAGACTTCAGTAATGTGTAAGTAGTCATACCCTTCATCGTGTTGCAATCAGGTATATAACCCAAAAGAGCCAAAATAGAGAAAACGAAGAGATGAGAATAGTGCAGGCCGCATAACCTAATATACATGTGTTAATTAGTGTGTTGATACAACACCTATTTTTCTTTTTCTTTTCTTTTCTATTAGTAGACTAAATTGAAATCTTGTATGTGTTTATTTTTCCTGTGTGTTAAGATCATAGAAAATATTCTTTTACTTTTCAGCTATTCATTACGTATTTGCAAAAGGCCTCTAGAGGATACAAGAAACAGGTATTGTATTTGTGACTTTTTTTTAATTAAAATTATTTTGTCAGAGGGTACTAAAACATCCACTCCATCTACGTAGGAAGGCAAAAAAGAGTTATGGCAAAGCCTATTTGAGCTAAAGAATCCATCACTGAACTCTTTGGTTATTTTTTTATTATATTTCGTATAACAGTCTTTAGCTTTGTCTTGAACCGTTTGCCTAAACTTCATTAGAATGAATACTATATTATATAAGAGAAAGTAATTACCTCGTGATTTGTCCTCTACTTGACATGAAGCCAAAGATCATAAAATGCATTTTGTTCTTGTTTTGCTAGAATGCCATCTTTAGCTCCTTTGGCTTCAATAGCTTCTTAGGTAACTACTTCTCTAAGAATACTAAAAACACTAACAAAATCAGGCTTTCATTTGGGCATGTCCCCTTGTTAATTTGTACAGAGATGCTCAAGATAATCAACATATCTATGGAAATAACTTTCGATGTTCTACTCTAGCAAATATGCCAATGCTATAAAGTGGGTTAACTTAATTCATAACACTGCCCAGGGTCTTATATGGTGTCAGGGACTATTTGAATTTACTTTCAGCAACAATTAAAACGCTTTTGCAGAATCTATATGCTGAACTTTGACGTTTCTTTTAAGCTGTCAAGTTGCACTTACATAGTTAAAAGATACATGAAAATGCCTTTGCTTTGTTTCTATGATGGGACACTTAATTCACTTCTGTATATTTGCAGTAGATGATTTTAGTTGTTTATCTTTACTTTGTATCAATTGTCAGATTAAGCCTTTAAAGAAAAGTTAAATGTAAATGTTTCTTCCAAGCAGTAAGCTTGTGCTTTTATGATTGACGGAAGGATGCATGATGCTGAAGTTTCAACACTTTGACAAACTCTAATTGCATATGTTTTGGGACGGGAAGGAACTTGTGATGTTGCACTTTGAGGTGCTTGGTTTCTGTCATCCATGCCATAAACATGAATAATGTATTTTATCGGATGTCCCCGTAGGGACTGAATAATGTTATGATGTGACATTTTATGTGGTTAGTTATTATAGTACCTTTGAGGATTCAAGTACAGTGCTTTTGTCTCATATAGATATTTTATTTATGACATCCAAAACCTTATGAGAATTTTGCAGGAATAACTAGAGTAAATAGCTAGGTTGGGCATATGCCCGTGCACATCACGGGCACAGGCCATCTAGTATAATAAGTGAAGCTTCTGTACGATGAAGGTCATTACTTTTTATGGGCATTTTGGTATTTTGGTTCAATTCTATTCTTTTTTTGGTGACACGTGTGTAACACTTTATATTGGTTGGATACAACTGGATTTCATCTGGTTCCCACAGATTTCATTTTTCACACTCTTCACCTGATTTTGCCATTTCTTCTTGTTCTTTGATAGCCTCTATTTCTTTTTCATTCTCTGTATCATTCCTCTGTTTTTGCTTTTCTTTTTCTTTGCTCTCTCTCTCTCTGTTGCAGGCTCACCTTCTTCTGATCATTTACCTATTGCAGGTGCGACTTGATTTTAATTTTTCTTGTTGGTTTTCTTTTGTGTTTTTTCCTCTCTTTGATTTATTGGATTTTTTTTCAAATTTTGTTGTTGTCAGGTATCTGGGTTCTAACATGTTGCATGCGTTGGTTTTCACATCTTTAGGCATTTGCATCTACTTCTAGATGAAAGCTTCCTCCACCTTCTAATGACGCGTGTAGTTGTATTGATCAGGTTATGCTTTTTTCTCATTCTTTTTCATTCTTTCTTGTTCTATCCCTAATTTTTTCTCCTATATTCATCTGCAATCTTAGTTTGCTCTTCTCGGTTGATGTGGGCCTTCTTCACTACGGCTTGGTGAGCTCATTTTCTTCTATTTCTCTGTTTCCGTTTGTTCCTTTTTTTTTAATGCTTCTTTTATCCGAAAATTTTATGGGTTTGCTATAGTTTTTTACTGTGATTTGTGATCAAGTAATGGTACCTAGAGTCATGTTTCTTTACTGATGTTGATTATTTAGATAAAAGGAACTCCTCTTTCTGGTTTGAAAAAAGATTGCACGGTTATCTGAAATTAGAAGTTCATTTCTTCTCACCCTCTGTTTGTTGTTTCTCTGTCACGCCCCGAACCTGGGCCTGGACGTAACACGGTACTCGGTGCCTGACTACATGTGACCGAGCGAACCAACTGGCTGGCTGAATCAACATGTGGTATCATAACATACTGAATGCGGAAGATAAACTAACACATGCTGATATACTGAAAGGCTGGACGTTATAAATCATAGTGCGGAAATACTAATACAATTCTGAAACATATTTGCAGCCAACATGGCTTAACATGAAAAGTATGAGACTCTGTCTAACTCTTACTCTAGTCTATGAAGCCTCTATTGAAGTACTGAAAGCACTAACTATCTGTAAATACTGAAAGGCTGTAAAGTAATGATAATGCCCCGAAAGAACTGGGGATCACCAAATAGCTGGTACGAGAGTCCTAGCGCTCTGAATTATCAACGTCTAAATCATTACCTGCATTGTGAGATGCAGGCCCCGGGCAAAAGGGACGTCAGTACATTTGAATTGTACTGGTATGTAAAGCAACTGAAAGAAAGAATTATAAATGCTGAAACTGAAACTAAGCTGATAAATACTGAAACTGAAACTAAGCTGATAACTGAAATGATAACTATTGAAAATGAAACTGAAGTGATGATTGAACTGGTAACTGATAACTGATAACTGAAAAGATAACTGATAACTGATAACTGAAAAGATAACTGATAACTGAACTGATAACTGAAAAGATAACTGATACTCCCTCCGTTCCAATTTACGTGAACTTGTTTGACTGGGCACGGAGTTTAAGAAAATATGAAGACTTTTGGAATTTGTGGTCCTAAATGAGTTAAAATGGGGTCCAGAGTATTTGTGTGGTTATAAAGCTTCTCATTAAGGGTAGAATTGTAAGTTTGAGCTAAATTGTTTCCAAATATAGAAAGGGTTCATTCTTTTTGGAACGGACCAAAAAGGAAATAGGTTCACATAAACTGGAACAGAGGGAGTAACTGATAACTGAAAAGATAACTGATAACTGAACTGAATAAAGGAAGTAAGGATATGAATACTCCCTCTTCTGAATGGTGAACAACCTGTTTATCTGAATATTAAACTGCGGCCTCAGGCCCAATATATATATGTGCACAACTGCGGCCTCGGGCCCAAGTATACGTATACATAACTGCGACCTCAGGTCCAAAATGCATAAAGCATAAACTGCGACCTCAGGCCCAAAGATGCATAAAGCATAAACTGCGGCCTCAGGCCCAAAGACATGTGTTCAACATTCAGGAACTGAGAATCATACTGAAATACATGATGCTGAAATACTGAATCATACTGAGTTACATGATACTTGAATGCTGAATCACACTGAGTTACATAATACTGAATAGGACTGGACTGAGACATATATTCTTGAACTGATTATTAACACTGAAACTTTAACTGTTTATGACATGCTGAGTAAGCTATACTGAGACTCAGGGACATAAAACCCAAGTCTATATTGAATACGAACTGAGCTCATAACATTCACAATGAAAGTCATGAACGAGTTATGAAGCTAGAGAATAGAAGTTCTACAACTATTCAAGGAACTAGGCTTAACTATATTTCTGAGGCAATTGATACGTCGTAAAAGAAACGTAGTGTAGAGAGAATCATTAACATTCCCAAACATAGAGAGTTAGCTTCACATACCTTCACTTCCTGCTCTTGAGCGTAATACAACATTCGCTACCCCTTTCAACTTTAATCTATATCAATACAAGTCTAAGGGATTCCATATTAGCAATAATTCTCTTGTTCATAGTCCTTATTAATGGTGTTTCTACACCCAATAACCCATTCTCTTGCTCCTAAATAAATTCTAAAGTCTCAAATGGTTATAAATAACATTATTCTTTATCACCCATAAAGTAATCAACACCCATAACCAATAATAACCAATCAACAACCCAAACCTATCACCGTTCATGCTTTTCTACCAAACCCATCAACTCATATCTCATGAAATAGAGTCTATAATCATTAATTCAATGATAGAATCAACTAGAGGGTGAAGATATTACCTTTTTGATGTTCAATCTTCTTGAATTCGAGTTCTAGGGTTTCTTCTCTCAACAATGGTGTCCCAATCGAATATCTAATGATATGGAGGATTTACCCCTGTTAATAAGATGTTGGAAAATTGAAATAAACTTAGAATCATCATTAGAACTTACCTTGGGTGGTGGAGGGACTCTTAAGGAGTTAGGTTTTTGAGAGCTTTACTTTCTAGAGCAAGTTTTTATGTTTTGGGGGTGTGGGGGACGAAATATAGCTTTAAAACGACCCCCACTAGCGCGCTACTGGAGGCTTGCCCGCGCTAATGACCGCGCTAAACGGCAGTCACACTGCCTCAAAATTAGCGCGGCCGCGCTACCGGCGCGCATATCGCGTACTGTTCTGTAAAACGCGCATAACTTTTTGCACAGAGATCCGTTCGGGCTCCATAATATATCGTTGGAAATCTATTTCAAAGGCCTACAACTTTCATGCTTTGAGTTTTCTCGGATTCCTTACACATTTTTATTAAACACTGATGGAATACAGACCTTCTGCAAACTTAGTCAATTTTATCAAATCTTATGCACCTCACTTTCCATCTTGATTTTGAAACAACTATTTTCACGTATAATCATCTCGATGAGACTTCACATGCTCAAAATATAAACTTACTACTCTCTTAACTCATTCATACCTATGTCGAATTTACGGGGTGTTACATTCTCGAACATTATATATGTGAGGACTATGAAATCGCTATTTAATTTTACTGCATGTGGTTCTTTTACCTATTTGGCTCATCTGTCATTTTAAAATGTTAGTGTTTGGTGTTAGTTTGAGCTCTTACTTCCTCCAGCTTCATGTGTTCTCTTTCTTGCATTTTCCCCCCATACCTTTCCCTTTTGGTTAGGCAATTTTGTACATGCATTTTTTTTTTGGCCTTTTTGCATGGATCCTGACTCCTAAGATTACTAATTTTGGATCACATATGTTGTGAGATTAGCTTTTTCATGTTGTTATCTCAGTTTGTGTATGCTTCCATTTCGCTCCAGACCTGATCGACAATCTTCCCCTGTAAAGGGAAGACATACGAGGACATGTCAAAAATTCGGTTTGGATATTCTCAGGCCAAAGGTGGGGTTATCTCTCAGCGAGACACTGCAAGTGTGCTTTTATTTCTAAATTTTGGTTTTACGTCTTTTACCTGCTGAAATTCAAATGTATTTTCTTATCTGTGGTCAAGTTCTTAACAATTTCCCTTCCAGGAAAATTATCAGTGTCAACATATTTGTCTTCTATGGGCTCATTTTGCTACAGAAGAGGGGTGCAAACTTCTCTAGTGGTAAGTTTCTTGATGCTGAAGAGCTATTTCGAAGTTATGTATCATTTCTTTTTTTAAAAGCTATCACTTTGGTTACTATTAGGGGTGTTCGTCGGTCGGTACGGTACGGTATTTAGACATTTCGGTTCGGTATTTTCGGTATTCGGTTTCTTAAAATGCAATACCAATACCGTACCTAATTAAATTCGGTATGGTTCGATTTTTCTCCTTTCGGTTTCGGTTTATTCGGTTTGGTAACTTCGGTTTATTGGTTTGAATACTAACTAGTGCATAGAGTCATAGAATGTAATATTCTGAATTAAAATACTCAAAAATACAAAACTAAAAATATTTGTTGACCAAAGTTTTGTCCAAAACTAGCAAATATCAACTTAGAGAGAGAAAACTATACATAAAAGAATCAATTTGATCATTAGAAACGTCTTGTTACTTAGAGTTAATTGATGAACTTAGAGAATAAAGGAAAATAAAATTTTAGATTTTTATATTTATGTTATAATTAATAATATGTGTATTGTGTAATATAATATATATTTCAGTACGGTATCGGTATTTCATTTTAAAATACCAAATACCATACTTAATACCAATATTTTTTAAAACTTAAACCAAATACCATACCGAATACCAAAACATCGAATACCAAATACCAAAAAATTTCGGTTCCGGTACGGTAATTCGGTATTTACCAAATTATGCACAGCCCTAGTTACTATTGAACATAACAAATAACTTCCAAAGAGAAGACGTACATCTAAATTTTGGGCTTTAGACTGCAGACTTAGTGATATTACTTAATTTGACATTTTGATTATTTGTACTTTCTGAGTAATTCATAGTTCAGTTACTTTAATTTGACAAAAGTAGTTTTCTGACCAACTGTTCTAATGAGTAAGGTTCAAAACTTCAATTTCAATATGACACAAAATAATTTTATGATTAATGTCATAATGAGTAAATTAGTTAAGTGACTATACGTGACATTAATCCGAAAGGAAAACCAAAAAGAATCTTTTATTAGGAAAGAAGTAAAACCAAGAAGGATATTTATTAGGAAAGAAGAAAAAGTTGCATGTTGGTCTTGGTTTAGTACCTCAGAGCACCACAACATCTTTTATGTCAAGACCCTTTGAAACAAATTTTGCAGTAATGTTTTCTAAGGGCTAGAAGGTGATGGAATCTGAGCATTAGCTGCACTTTGACTTGCGGTAAGACTATCTCGACGACCCAACGACACTGACCAATAGGGGCCTCCAGTCTGAAAACATTTGTTCAAACAAGAAAGAGCAATTTTTAGCAGTAGTATATACTAACAATTTGACAGAGTATGTTTAGGCAAAGAATACGTAGAAATGACACTTGGTAGCCACTCTAAAGGGCTGTTATTTAAGAATTAGCCAGTGTGTCCTGAATTTTAGGATTTCAGTTCAGCTGTCCAGGACAAAAATGTCCTGAGTTATCTTGAAGTTAAAATTTTTAGTTTAAAATTTCAGGACAAAAATAAGTACTAGCTAGTCCCTAAATAGCATCCCTAAGAGTATTTATCTGTGCATTTGCCTCATGAACCTGAAAGCCCTTTGAAATTTTTTACGAGATAGATATCTTCTCTAGCTGCTAGAGTCAGTATATCAGCACATGAAACTGTAGACGGGCAAGCTTTCTCCACGTTAGCTTTTATTGCATCAATGACTTCAAATCCTTTGGCTAAATTTCGATTAGGAGATGCGTTCTTTTCTCCTGTGAATGTACTAGTATCATCGAGTAGTACAGACCCTCGCATCCCTACACAACATAAACATTTTTGTAAGAAGTAAGCAATCAGATTGCCATTAGCTATGTACTTATGTTAGTGCATATGATGGGCAAAAAATAAAAGAGTACGTGTATTATACATTAGCTAAACAGTCATGGAAGTGCAAGCGCAACAGCGAGGCAGCCATTCTGGTTTCATTAGAAATAGCAGACCAGATGCCATATCTAACGATTTTAGTGAGGTTGGGACAGGTGGCGTAATATTTGTAATCAAGTTGCCCATACACAAAAGAAGAGAAACAAGAAGCAAAACAAAGAGTTAGTTAAAGATATATGGCATTTCGTGTTCATGATTGCAGATGCAGTAAATAGTAGTATTCTTTTTTTTCTCTATAACATCAGGAGTGAGTAGGAACCGTTATTTATAAGCAAACAAAATCTCATGCTCAGTAAAGAGTACAGAATAGCAGGGCCACTAAGAATTAATTAATATGTCTGTTTCAGTTAATAAGTTTGGTACTAATCCATCATTCATTGAAAAATTGTCAGCTGCTCTACACTAAAATAAAGTAGTATATACCTTGCAAATTAAATCTCACTTATTTGATTTTATTATCTTGCAATCTCACCAATATGTAGGGAGCCCTGTCGAACCGTTGGACATGTAAATAACATTTAGAGATATTGTTGCCAAAGGCGCGAGTATTGAAGGTAGAGAAGTAATAGGAACTTGAAATTCTATGCAATACAAGTATATAAGGCTACAATGAAAATATAATATAGTCTACACTCCATATCACTAATCACTATACTATATATAAACAACAGTTACAAATAGTATTGTCCAAGGCGTGACCTACATCAGTGTGCTCATTATATATTTTGTCTATAGATGTGAGGAATCATCCAGCTGTTATTTATTGCAAGTGTTGGAAGGCAACATTCATGAATAATGTTATCAAAGGCGTGCGTTTTAAAGATGAAAACTGGAAGTTGAAATACTATGCAATACAAATATGTAAAGGTACAACAAGAATGTTATATAATCGTCTAAACTTCATATATATTGTTGTTGAAGGCTTGACCTGCCGACAAAAGGGCTAATTGTATATATTATAAACTTCAATTTACCTTTTAAAATGCTTCATGATTGTAAATTTGCAACAATTTTCTCCATTATGTTAATCTATAGAAAGAAACAAAGAAGAAAAAACAGAAGAAAACACAAAAGAAGAGCGTAAAAGAGAAGAAACAATACAAAAAGCTGAGAAAGTAAAAACATGAAGATTTAGAAAGTAAAAATTTATTTATTATATCATATCTGAATACTCGATGTCCTTATAACCATGATCAACAAAAAAAAGATGACTGAGGAAAGGGATTAGAAAATGAAAACCAGAAGAAATTTAATGAATTAGTGAAGATTCTTACTGGCACAAATCAACAGAGAATATCCAACCTTTTCTTATTCTTTTTGCTCCAAGTTCTTCTATCCCTGCCACGACCAGCTATCCAAACCACTCCTTATCCTAAACATGAATGTCACATATCCAGATTTTGGATTGAAGAAACAATCATGAACCAAGTCGCAATAAAAAAAATTCCATGGGTTCACTTAGTAGTTTCCAATTTATTTAGCCAAAGGCATGCGTTTTAAAGACAGAAAACTGGAAGTTGAAATATTATGCAATACAAGCATCTAAAGGTAAAATGACAATGTAATATAGTCGTCTGCACTCCATATCACTAAACTGTATATAAATAACATTTAGACATATTGTTGTCGAAGGCTTGACCTGCTGAAGAAATATGACTGGAAATTATTCATAAAGAAAAGACGACTATATTACATTGTCATCAAGACTATATAATGTATTTCTCGATGGAAATTATTCATCAAGACTATATAATATTACGTGAAATAAAGAGCCTACTGTTTCCAAAATCTCATACAGATTAATACCAGGATCCATTTACACTTACCCCTGGTATACCCAAACTCACATATATAGACAAAAGTTACCAGCCATATTTTGTTTGTTCAGGTGAGACAAATTAAAAAACTCATGCCAGCACAATCAGCAACTCATAGTTTAGGTTAAAACAGGGAAAAACTAAATGGATCCTGATCTAAGTACATACGAGATGAAGTGAAGAAATAGACTATTTACTTCAACATTAAGATACTCATGCCAACACACTGATTAGCTCATAGTTTTGATTAAAGTGGGAAAACTAAATGGATCCTGGTCTAAATTTCTATGTGATTTTGGATGGAATATACTCTTTACTTCAACATTAAGAAACTTATGCGAACACAATCAGTAGTTCATACTTTTGGTTATCACAGGGGAAAAATAAATGGATCCTGGTCTAAATATGTATTTGAGTTTGAGAGGAACTCATGCCAGCAGAATCATCAAATCACATTGTTATTTATGACAGGTAAAAACTTAATAGTTCCTGGTCTAAATCTGCAGGCGATTTTGGAAGAAATAGTCTCTTTACTTCCCGTAAGGTTATTTAGTTATGTCATTCATCGATGAATAATTTCCATTGTTCTATAGGTGTGAGTAATCATCCAGTTGTTATCTATTGCAAGCATGGGAAGGCAACATTTATAGATATTTTTGTCGAATGCATGAGTATAGAAGTATGAGAAAGAACTGTGTGTTTTGGAGGCAAAGAAGATGACTTAGATAATGTCGAGAAGGCAATAATACGAGATAAAAGGAATACTATGGCCATCACTATTTTGCGGGGAAAAATATGTTTCTGATCAACATAATGTTGGAGGCCATCGCATTGAGATAGCACAACACAATTGCACCTTTGTGAAAGAATGTTGTAGCGGATTCTTCATAATCTGTCAATTTAGATCCTTTTGTTTTTTCGACACAAATTGGGTGTGACTAAATGTGAATAATAGGAGAACTTGTTCGGGGAAGTGTGTCTTTTGTAGGAGAAAGAAGAGGACTTAGATAATGGCGAAAAGGCAGTAGTATGAGAAAATTGAAAACTTTAGTCCATGATCATGTTTTGGTGGGTTTTTCGTTCCATGATGACTAAATTATTGAACCAATATTAGATGCATATGTCGCGCTTTAAGCAGAAAAAAATTGTGTAGAGAAGATTGGAAAATATTGCCTAAACTATAACATCAATTGAAAGAAGTTGTTGTCGAATCTTATCATACTTAGTGGTGTAACAGTGGGGGAAAATATGGTAATAGTATTTCAGAACGTTTAGAGCAGCATTTCTGAACTGTGTGAAAATCTGATTGGTGAAGAACATCATGCATGTACCTCAATCTCGTATCGGTGTTTTGTATTCGTATTCGGTGTGCGTGAACACCTATCTTTGTTGAACGGACCTATTTGTTTTGTCTTCGTATTCCTTGTGCGTCCGCACCCATAGCAGTTGAGCGGACAGATTGTTGGAGCAGCAAATATATTTTCTGAAAATAGAATTAGATTAATGAAGTTATAACCCAGGAGAATGATGGGTAAGGATAATCGGTAAACATTCGGTAAGCATTAATTGTTTCAAACGGATTACATACCGACATTAGCTTGTTGAGCCAAAGTAGTTTGTGATTGCGGGTTGAAGTTTTTTTTGGGTTGACGAACATTTCATGGTCCGTAAAGTAAGTATGTCGTGGCTAAAGAATGGAGACACTCGCAGGGAATTAGAGATATTGTATGTTCCAAATAAAACGTCAGAGCGAAGTAGGTAGAGAGGGCAATTGAAAAGATAGAGAAGTACAGACAAATTGGAAGATATAGAAGGAGAGAAATTAGGGGAAAAGGGAGTAGAGAAATGGTGGCATATAAACTGGATGTGAAACGTTTAGGGTATTTTGAGAATGGGTATATTTTGAGAAGAAGCGGAAGAAGCGGTGTGGGCGTTTTGTTTCTGTAATTTTAGTTTTAACTTGCAACTAATACCTGAAGCCTAGAAAATAGAATTGCTGCTGACTGAGAGTGCCACCTCACCGGCCTTAGTACCCTCAATTATAGATATATATAGATATAGATTCGTAGCAGCCCCTGCACTACGCTAGCTAGTGGAACTATGAGGAGTGACGATTTCCAGCAATAAGGATGTATTAGTGCCCAAATGAGCAACTATTGCACAATCTATTATACAGTACTTTACTGGGAGTCGAATTGTATAAAACTAGTACTTTTCCCTAGATTACTTCTGTCCAGATTCTTGGTATCATCCATTTAACCTCAGCTTGGATCATTTATGCATATATTAATTGGTGTTGCATGACATGTCATTCACTATGAGATATTAACAAGCTAAGCATAAATGTTGTGTAGTGATAACAAGGAAGAAAGAGCTTTATTGCTTTCATGTATAATGATATCGGCTTTTTATACCAAAAAAAGGAAAAAGAAAAAAAGGCAAGCAACTAAAGTTATTCAGATTTTGAGAACCTTTGGTTTTACCTAATTAACTTTTAAAACTATCTTAATGAATAGATTGTTGAGTCTTGAAATTATAAAGTCTGGATATAACATAATATACATAGAATATGATACGCGTGGGCATACTAAGAGAAATAGATATTCAGGACAACGTGAGAGTGGTCTGTGTGGAGGATAAGACGAGGGAAGTGAGGCTGAGATGGTTTGGGCACGTGAAGAGGAGATGCACTGATGTCCCAGTGAGGAATTGCAAGAGGTTGGCTATAGTGGATCCAAAGGAGAGGTAGAGGTAGGCAGAAGAAATACTTGTTGGGCTTAAACGGCCCAATGACACTCTTAACATGGTGTGATATTGTCCGCTTTGGGCCAAGCCCGCACGGTTTTCCCCAAAAGGCCCCGCACCATTAAGAGATCCCTACACCTTATATGTAGACTCCCAATCTTTTCAGCTACCAATGTGGGACTTTGTTCGCACACCCAACAATCTCCCCCTCGAACTAAGTTCCACGTGGCCCACTACCACGATCCACGGGTCAATTTTCGAGATTCACTGTGTGCCACCCACATTGTTAGAGTATTATGGCAACCGATGCCCGCAACTAGCTTGAACCTCGCTCTGATACCACTTGTTATCAGACGAAAATCACGATTATCGTCAAATATGTTGCAGCTAGAACTGAACACGCCAAGATGAACCTGTCTTGAACCTCGCTCTGATACCACTTGTTATGTTGAGGAAGAGGCAAACCAGAAAATAAAGACGATAAAGAACACCAAATTTTAACGTGGAAAACCCTTCAAATCGAAGGTAAAAATCACGGGATCACAAAGATCCAAAAAGCTCCACTATAACAATAAGAGGGTTACAAAAGTTCTCCAAATTGACTACACAACAAGGGCCAAACACGGAGCAACAATAGCAACAAGAGCAACAACTAATCAATTGAAGAAAGAGTATAATCCACAAAATGAAGCTGCTGTTCGAGGCTCGAAATCAGATGCTACGAGCCACCAAATCCGATCTCCACCGTTCAAATCCAATACCAAGATGTTACGAACACTTAGTCAAAATTTCAGCCCGATCCAATGGTTAACGAATCGGAAAACGAGATTTGAAGTTGGCTGGTCGGAATAAAAATCTGCAGCAAAACAAATACTTTTTTTCTCTCTTCTCTCTTGATGAAAGCTCTCTCAAAACCCACTCTTATGTGCTTAAGTCTTTCAAAGACTTGTATCAATGAGCATAGAATAATTCTCCAAGGTTGTCCTTATGTCTCAACTAGAGTTCTATTCATCCTCTCTGCCAAACCGTTCAATTGAGGCGTCTTGGGCGGAGTTTTCTGATGACGAATTCCTTGTTCCTTGCAATAGTTATCAAATGGACCACAATATTCACCACCATTGTCAGTGCGAATACATTTTAATTTCTTCCCCGTCTGTCTCTCAGCTAAGGCCTGAAATTCCTTAAACACGCCAAGTGCTTGATCTTTAGATTTCAAAGGATACACCCAGAGCTTACGAGAATGATCATCAATGAAGGTCACAAAGTAAAGTGCACCACCTTTGACTTTACTTTAAAAGGACCACACAAATCAGAGTGTACTAGCTCTAATAAATCGGACTTTCTTGAGGGAGGATGGCTATGAAAGGAAACCCTTTTTTGTTTGCTAGCTAAACCATGTATGCACCTTTGCAGCTTTGCTTGTTTTACTCCAGAAAGCAAACTTTTCTTAGCCAAACACGTAATCCCTCTCTCACTCATATGACTCAATCTTCGATGCCACAATTCTGACAAACTATCACTTTTCACCATATTTGTTGAGTCATTAAAAATAGAGCCTTGTGTCACATATAATTGACTAGACTTGACTCCTCGAGCCACTACTAACGAGCCCTTGGTGAGCTTCCATTGGCCGTTAAAGAGAGCATTATGGTAACCTTCATCGTCTATCTTCATGCGGAGATCAAATTGAAAGAAAAGTCTGGAGCGTGCTTCACATCTTGAAGAACTAACGTTGAACCATTATTAGTTTTCAAACAAACTGTGCCAACACCAAACACCTTAACTTCACTGGCATTGCCCATCTTTAACACTCCAGAATCAACATGAGTATAAGATGAGAAAAAATCTTTTCTTGGTGTGACATGTGAGGTAGCTCCAGAATCTACTATCCAGCTCGTCTCATGGGATACCAAATTGATGACGTTTTAATCATAAGCAAAAAGAAGGTCATCTTGAACAATAGCAGCAACATTGTTCTCGGTATTTTCAACTTTCTTTCCTTCTCTAGTGTCTTGATTCAACTTGCGGCAAAACCTTTTGATGTGTCCTTTCTTGCCACAGTGGTTGCATGTAACATTATAGTATTTGGACCTTGACTTACTTCTACTTTTACCTCTATTCCTTGAGCCTCTTGTTCTATCTCTCCCCCGGTCTTCTGTAACCAAGATATCTGCTTGTGAGGATGAACCCTGCGATTTTCTCCTTACTTCCTCGTTCAACACACCACTCTTGGCATATTCCATGGTCACCTTACCTCTAGGAGCTGAATTTGTCAAAGAAACACGAAGAGTTTCCCAAGAGTCTCGCAGAGTATTAAGAAGCCAAAGTCCTTGTATCTCATCATCAAAATTAACCCCCATTCCAGATAGCTGATCAATGACGCCCTAAAAATCATTTATGTGATCAAGGATAGGGTTGCCTTCCTTGTATTTAAAGGTCATCAATTCCTTTAGCAGAAACAATTTGTTGTTCCCGGTTTTTGAAGCATAAAGAGTCTCTAGCTTTTCCCACAATGATCTCGCATGTATCTCGTTCACAATATGGTTGCGAACATTATCTTTAACCCATTGCCGTATAAATCCACATACTCGTTGGTGCTCGAAATCCCAATCTTCATCGGATATACTCTCGGGTTTATGAGCTGAAAAAACGGGTAGATGCATCTTCTTCACGAACAACAAGTCTTTCATCTTGCTTCTCCAAACATTATAATTTCTCCCATTTAAACATACCATCTTGCTCATATTCGCCTCCATTCCGTAATAACCCGGATAAATAACCAAGGCTCTGATACCAGTTGTTGGGCTTAAACGGCCCAATGACACTCTTAACATGGTGTGATATTGTCCGCTTTGGGCCAAGCCCGCACGGTTTTCCCCAAAAGGCCTCGCACCATTAAGAGATCCCTACACCTTATATGTAGACTCCCAATCTTTTCAGCTACCAATGTGGGACTTTGTTCGCACACCCAACAATACTGGGGTCAGGTGATCAGGCAGGACATGGCACTAGCAGTGTATTTCTCGAACATAGGATGACGTAGAACTCCTTGCGATGTATTTGATCTCCATGAAAGTCGGGCAGTATTTCAGATCAATTATGAGAAAGAACTTCTCTTGATCGCTCTTTCTTGTTTTTTCGATTGAGGGTCAAAGTGACGTATCTCACGTGCAAAGAATTTGTATGGATTTTCTTGAAATATTTGATTGTCAAATAAGCATATTCCCGCTGCATTTCGAGTTGATCTTGAGGAAGAATGTCTCTTCATCACTTCGTCTTTAAAGAAAACATTATTTGTTATCTTGATCTCTTTGTATTTTTCCAAGTTTTTGGAATTAACTTATTGATTGATTTATCTTCGACTACAACTTGACGGCAATTAGATAAAGCTAAGAATATATAAAAAGAGCACTCTTTTGCGAAATAGTGCAATTCCTGTCGTGAGCGCATCATCTCTGAACAATGAATTTGGTCCGTGCTGTAGTAATCCAATAAACGATGTGTGGTTAACAAATTTAATAATCTACTGTAACAATTAAATAAATTCTCGTTTTTTAGGAACCTATAATGCATTTATCCATATCGTCTTGGTTTGCAAGTCAACTGCTAAGCCCAGACACCAATTATACTGCTATGTATTGGTATGCCGGTTCATGATTAGACACATTTTTCAGATTGTCTTTTCTTTTAATTGATAAGTGTTGTCCTCTGATTTGGACATGAATGTCCAATATTTGGTCACTCAATGTATTCCAACTTGAAAAGAAATATGGGGCCTAGTGTAATGAAATAGGCCTTATATTATCTGTTTTTTCATCCCCTATCTCTACTTCTGTCCCTAGTGTTCTGGTTGTTCTCAATATTCTTACTTTCCAAGTATTCAAGTGTAACAAGGTATTGTATATGTATAAAATAAAATAAAAAATTAAAATTTATGATTTTAATTATGCCACAATATTTGTGTGACTAGACTATTGAACTTATAATTTTAAATATGCATAATATTTGTGTGATACTACAAACTTGTCAATAAGAATAAAATAAAAAATTCAAGTTAAATTGTTGTTGAATTTAGAAAAAAGTTATCTTCTTTAAACCGATTAAAAAAGGAAAATGCATAAGTACCCCCGTGACCTATACCCGGATCCCCAACTACACACTTTTTCTTTGCGGGAATCCTATTACCCCCCTAAACTTATTTTAAATGGAATTATTTGCACCGTTAACGCTGACAACCAAACTCTTGGCAAGTGGTGAGCTACACGCGCCCCCACATGTATTTCTAGTTCTTTTTTTATTCTTTCTTCTTTTTCTTCTTTTCTTATCCTTTTTCTTATTTCTTAAATTCTCATTTTTTTTTGGTTCATTTCATTCTCTTTTTTATTGTTTTGGTCACCGGCGGCATAAAATGGTGGTCGTCGGAATTTCATAAACACCATTTTCTTCGGCGAATTTTTTTTTGTCGACGATATTTTTATTCCCGATCTAAGTGTGTTATTTTATATATATATAAAAAATTACTTGAAAGTATAGTTCATGTGTGGGAG